CCTACATGTGTCTCTCTGTAGATGGAGAAGCAATCCACAGTGCCTTGAGAGTCCCTTTTGGGGTACATACTCACCAATTGGGAAAATTTTACCCTGAGTCCCTCAAGAAACGGCTAATCTTTTGTAACACAGCCTGATCCCAATATAAAGTGAGCATTGGAGAAGTTTGGCCAGTTAATGACACCATTAATTTTAACATTTTCTTGCAGTTAGGACCTGATTTACCATTCCCAAGAAAAATGAACAGAGGTTCCATATGTCTAAGAGCGTTACGGTTCCTAGAGGTGAACCTAAGCTATGTGCTGTCTGCAAACTAGAAAAACATGCCCAAATGTCAAGAAACATTCCAAAAATCGGGTAAATGGATTTGTCAGTCCCTTGTTGAGATATTAAAGTACTGTCCTTGTTTTATCTATGCAATCTTTACAGGGCTAAAGATATAGTTCCAGAACATCTAAAGCCCACCAAATCCTTTTACCTTCCCCAAACCTCCCCTGTTCATCTCAAGAGGCTTATAGATAATTGGCTTTATGAAACCAAAGTCCCAGGACCTTTGAAATGCAAATATTTGGTCTTCACCAAGAACTCTTGTCTGGGCCATTTTTAAAAATACAAATTTTTGGAAGGTGATTCTTACCAAAAGGGAAAAAAACAAAAAAACAAAACCTAAGCAAGTAATTTTAATTGTTTCAACTCTTTCTTTATAAATTAGTGAATATTTTTTCTTTCCTTTTTATTTTTTTAAATTAATGAATTTTAATTAAAGTCATTGAATATCTAAGTATTTTGAAATAATGTGTAATACAGAAACATTGATTGCTAAACAAGTCTTAAGGTCATCTGCTTTTGGTTTTTTATTGCCTAAAGTGTTCAAATTACCCAACAGGAAGCAGACAGTGGAGGAGACCATACAAGTGAAGGGAAGTATTTAAAGAATAACCAGAAATCTCATTTTCTAGAAAATATTAATTACGAGGCTGCCTAAATGGGAACAGCTAGACAACGTGGGCTAAATCCCCATGATTTTTAGACTTAACAGAGCTAGGATATTTATGTATGGCTAGCATACTGAGGGTCATATGACAGCCGGGGGATAATGTGCTCCAGAAATTGCAAAGAAGAAAGCAAATAAGCACTTGAGTGAACAGAACCTTAAATGAAGAAGGGGTAAAGAATGTTCTGGCTCAGACATAAATTATGGAGATTTATAGGGACTGATAAATTAGTGACATTCATTTCACAGCACTCCCAGGAGACGAAGACTCCAAAGACCACAACTTACAACCAGGAGTTTTTTGTCCATCAGGAAAGACATTAATTAACGACCCTCTCCAACCGTGTTTAAAGGGACCTTACCTTATCCGGTGCCTAACTGCAAATGGACATCTGCCCCTATTTTGCCTCCATCTACAGTGGAGATCAAAGACTTTTCAAGGATGAGAAGCTGCCGACCTGGAGACAGACAGCTATCCCAGGATGTCAGTGAGGCCTGTATGCTCACAAATTGCTGCTCAAACCTTCTTCTTATATCACCTAGTTGTTATTTGGCTGAATGTACATAAAATGACTTTTATGTTATCCTCCTTATAGTTTCCTAGTGGGAACAGTATGTCTCCCAGACACCCTCCCTTATTAGATATGAAAAATTTACCTTGGGTCCCTGCTCATCTTTCCCACCTACTAGACAATGATATTCTTTTTTCTTTCTTTTTTTTTGGACAATGATATTCTGATAATGAAATAGTAGAGAACCTTAATTCAACTGGCCAAACATATCATAAGTAACAGTGGATAAAAAAGGAAAGCACATAATTAACTTAATAAAAATTATGATAACCCAGGTAAAGCGTTTTTCCATTGCCTGGGATGCTTATTCCCCCCAGATCCTTCCTTGCCTAGTAGTAGACATATTCTGTTCCTAATTGGTGTTCATTGGTTAATACTGTTGCCTTTGTTCCTGGAATGTAAATGTCACACTAGATGCAGAATACCTACTAAGGCAAGCAGCAAAAAGACTTGGATCATTGTAGCTCAAAAATTAGAAATGATCCAGAATATTTTTAATAAGGTTATATAGGATCTGACTGCCTCCCATTCACCTGCATTTTATTTTGAATAATACTAATTCGACCTTGAATGCCACCTAAGGTTATGGTCTTGCCCCATCCCCAGTGGTCCACCCTGTTCAGCAAGACAAATGCTGACACTGAGACATCCTAGGAATGAGCCTTTCTAGCACCGTGGAACCTCTTTCTTCATCAAAAAGGTCTGTCATCAAGGCATCCTTTGGATTGACTTATGACCAAAAGGGGGACGTGTGGACAAAAAAAGGGGCCACATACTAAACGGACAAACTCAGGTAAGGCCTGCCGGGCAGCCTTGCAAACTCAAGCGGATGGTCTGAAATTAAGACTTTTTTTAACTGAAAGCAGTTTATGGCAGGTAGTCACGTCCTAGGCTAGAATCTTCCCTGACAAAGGTCAGTCCTTACCGAACGACGCCTGTCTACTGCTTTTGCATCCGCTCTAACATTGCTCTGGAATGGCAGGGGAAGACCCCACAGAGCACATACAGGGCACCAGGCAGAGACCACGCAGCCTCTCATTATTGCTGTTAATTGTTGACTGTTAACTCTCCTATACCCACCGATGCAGGCAAATATGTGTCTACCATTTTACCTTTTATCCACCCTCAGAGGTCTCCCCCTCGCTCCTGCTTTGCTCTCTCCACCCTCCCTAATCTGTCATCAATGAATCTCATGTACCCCACATACCTCTTCTTTTATGGTAATAGATAAAACAAGGTGCAAAATTGCCAGTCTCTGGAGCATTTATTATGTTAATCCCCTGAGCTTTGCTTCCCAGCAATCGTCAGTGTGGCTCAAACTCACAAAAGTTCTCTACAGTTTGGATGTTTCTTACAGTAACATTGGGGCATCTTTGCATTATGAGAAAATGTTTTTTAAGTGGAAGGGGGAGGGAGGGTGTGTGCACAGAGCTCCCTATAGTCTCCATGCCTTTAGCTAGAACCTGGCTCTTTAAAAGGCTCAACAGATGTTTGCTTAAAAAAAAAAAAAGCGAACTTTTTAAAGCTTCAAACGATGCGCAGCACAAAAATTTCCTTCAGAAAAATACCAAATCCTGTAGCCTGCGCGCTGCGCGGGCGCCCGCAGTGCCCTGCCCTCCTCCCACCCCCGGGCCTGAGGGCGCGGGCATCGCAGTCTTCTGTTGGTGGGTCAATTCGGAAACATGAATGGTAACAACATGGTATGGAACAGTGGGATTCGGCACGTTTGCACAGGACGTTTTGGGAGCTGTTTACTGTAGTCTGCCTGACATTGGGACAATATTGAGCAAGCGAGCTCCGTCAGGTGGAATCTTGAGGTTTCGCTGGCAGGAGTTTGGTGCTTGGGGAGTGTGAAAGCTCGTGTGCTCTCCCGTCGGGAGGAGTAAACGAAACTGGCGACGCCCCCGCGCAAGTTGCAGGGCTTGTCAACAAGTCCTGTCGCGAGTGGTGACCCTTCAGCCCCAAGGGAGTGAGCGAAGAAGCGTATGAGAAACACATAGCATCTACTGAGAAGTGAAACCGGAGCCCCTATATAAAGGTGTATAAATCAAAACAAAAAAGAAAAATACCAAACTGCTGGGCTGTGCTTTCTAAACGGCGCGGGAGATTGCCACGGCGAGCTTCGTTCTATCGCCCGGGCGCTGCCCGTGCCCCCGCCGCAGCAGGTCCCGCGTCAGTGTCCAACCTCGTCGGGCAGGAGCTCGGAACGAGCTCGCGGGCAGCCTGGGTCCGGACGTCTGGGCGGTGCAGCCGGCGGGAGGGAAGCGCCTGGTGCCCCTGCCTGCCAGCTCCCCCGCGGGGCCGTGTGCGCCCACCCGCACCTGGGACCTAAGGACGCCGGAACCCGGTTCCCGGGGTGTGGGCGCAGCGGAGCATGATAGCTACCGTACCGCCCAGCCGTGAGGCCCAGCGGAGAGGCGGAAGTCGAGGGCGCAGACTCTGCTGGGGGAACTTTACTGCGAAGGCACCTTCCTGTCCTCGACTCCGCCCCCTCCAGAGGGGCTCGGCTCGGGAATTCAAGATGGAGTCGCTGAGTCGAGCTGGGCAGGAGATGAGCTTAGCGGCTCTGAAGCAGCACGACCCCTACATCACCAGCATCGCAGACCTCACGGGCCAGGTGGCTCTGTACACCTTCTGCCCCAAGGCCAACCAGTGGGTGAGTGCCCGCAGGCCACTGAGGTCTACCGCCCGGCCACCGCCTCTTAAAGGGGCCGCGCGGACAGTCCTGGGTGGGAGGTGATGCCGGAGGCCAGGGCGGCGGAGACGAGGCCAAGGACTGGAGAACCTGACCGGCGCCTGAGGGGTGTCGGGGCCTCGGGATTGGGGAAGAGGAGCGGAAGAAATAGGCCCCAGACATCCGGGGGGAAAGCCGACCGAGGGGAGGGTTAGAGGAGGATCAGTGCCTTGGGGTCGGGTCCGGGGAGATGGGTGATCTGCCTTCTTTGCTGATGTGTTAGGGATATGAGACCGGGGAGGTCAGAAAGATACCTGCAAGATTGAGGATTATCGGTAAATTACATACACAAAATCTACGAAGCCAGCGCTTCTCCTCCCCCCTGCAACAGACATCAATAAGGGCCCCCTTCGCAGAGGTCATTTGGTTCTAAAGATTGAAATCCAGTTAGTTTCCATGCTTGGAAGAGAGGTGTGGGTAAGCCCCGCTTTTACCCAACTACACTCAGTTTCCAGAGTTTGGGGAAAGACTTCAAGGCACTTTAAAGGGCTTCCATGTTAATTAAGTTCCCTCGAAGCCTTTGGAGAAGAGTGGCAGTAAAGGTGTCTCGTTCCAGCTGTGCTGCTCGTGATGTCATCCCTGAATGCTCCCATCAGACTGAATACTTTTGGGGGTTTTTTTAGGTTTGTTTGTTTTTTTGCACGGGAGAGGGTCCGAAAAAGTTACATTCAGTCTGTTCACTGACTTGGTCCTTGTTTGAAGCTTCCTTCATTCCTTTAATTACATAATTTCCTGTTGTCTGGTAATTGGTCCTTCTTCATTAACTCATTCAACCACATAGGTTTTATTTACACTTAGAACAATTATCCGTAAATGTTTGGTGAATTGGATTTATAAATGACTGATGTTCACACTTCAGTAAGAAACATCCTTATGCTAACAAAACAATGAAAGATTATCATCATCGCACTTTCTTTACGATCTAATACAGGTATAAGTTATATGTAACCAGTAACTCTGTGAAAAGCGTTTGGTATTATTAAAGTTAATTCAGATGAAGGCAGTTGTCAAGATTATCTTGCTTTAGATCTTTAATTCACCTCCTTGAAGAGGAGGACATATGGGAAGCCACAAAGAACAAAATTATAGATTTTTTTTTAAGTGTAACTGTTTTAGAAACATTGGCTTAGTTTGTAATTGTTCTGACTGGTTTTTCCTTTCTTGGTCTAATTATAAACTTGTGAAATATGGATTGCAGACAAATATTAAAGACTTGTAATAACATTTGAAAGTCAAGAAGTAAACATTCCATGATGATATTTAAGCTAAGGCAATCAAGATGATACATATTTTTTTAAAAGAAGAAAAAATGTTGCCGAGTTGAACATCGCATATACATTAATATGCATCAGTAGCATAGAAGGGATGCAAAAGAAATTGCTAAAAGTAGTTGGTGGAGTGAGAGAGTTAGCTTGACCTGTTCAAAAGTGAATACTTTTTAAAAAATTATCTTAAACATGAAGTATTTCTTCTCCTTTGGAATATTTGGGATTGCATTATGGGGGTAAACCTAATTGTTTAATTGTCTCTTATAGGAGAAGACTGATATAGAAGGGACCTTATTTGTATATCGAAGGTAAGTTTTTTTAAAAAGGTACATATTTTTAAATGTCATGGTAAACAATGTCACGTGAAGTGGTTCAGCCTGTTGTTCATTTGTCTTTGGAACCTTCCCGCTTGACCCTTCAAGTATTCATTCATCTCTAGCTGTGAGAGTCTCAAGTTACGTCTCGCCTTTGAGCCTTCCTGTGATTCAGAACACACAGAACTAGGACTAATTTAGGATCCTGGCAAAGTCTTCAACAGAAAACATTTTTTAATAATGAACAAGTCTTAAAACAGATGCCTTCCTCCTCACTCACCCCCACCCCTGTATTAAAAAAGATACATAGTTGAAATAAATATATACATGTCCTTAGCTCCATAAAATCGTATAGTTGAAGGTGAGTCCTGCTGCTCTGTGGTTACTAAATGAGAGATTATCTTCTGTGACTCTGGTTCTGTCCCCTTTCCCACTCTCTCCCTAAAAGTTCTGGATTGTGTACAATGTCTTGTGTAATGTGTATGTTATTTAAATATATTTTCATTGATTTTAAAGAGAGGAAGGGAGAGGGAAAGATAGATAGAAACATCAATGATGGGAGAGAACCATTGATCCCATGTACTGAATCACCCTGGAATGGGAACCGAAGACATTTCTTACTGTAGGATTTGAGGCATTTTCTATCTAACTCGGGAGAACTATGGAAAGACCTGTTTGGTACAAGAAAAATCATTATTGTATTGTCAGTCAAGTGATCCAGGCAGAGAGAGGTATTTAGGGAGAGTGGCAAGAGGCTTGGTGTGGCTGCAGCAGGAAGAGCAAAAGGCAAAGGAGATGAAGGGAGTGAGGGGGGACCGACATATCTCCTAAGGCCTCTGGCCTTAATAATAAGGACTTTGTCCTTTACTCTGGGGGACTGAGCCCTTGGAAGCTTCTGAGAGGAAGAGGGTTATGATCTGACTTAAATTTTTTTGTTGACTATTGTAAATGCTAATATTGTGTAATGCGATAATATGTTCATTCTTAGAAATTGAAATAAGTAGATAACATTTCTGCAAACTGACAGTGACTATAGATTATTATTTTTCTTCTATTAAGGTCAGCTTCACCTTACCATGGTTTTACCATTGTGAATCGATTGAATATGCACAATCTTGTTGAACCAGTGAATAAAGATTTGGAATTTCAGCTCCATGAACCATTTCTTCTGTATAGAAATGCAAGCTGTGAGTATATCTCTTTGTGGTTTTTTAAAAAATATTTTTATTGATTTTAGAGAGGAAGGGAGAGAGAAACATCAGTGATGAGAATCATTGATCGGCTGCTTCCTGCACACCCTCTATTGGGGATCGAACCCCACAACTCGGGCATGTGTCGTGACTTCCTGGTTCATGGTTGATGCTCAACCACTGAGCCACACTGGTCAGGCAAGTATGTCTGTTTTATTGCAGTTCATATATTTACAATTCAAGTTGGGTGACTTTAGTTTCTATTAGCACATTATTTTTGGAGTTTTAAGTTGTAAAAAAGTTTGGTCTATACTCTTTTATAGTTATAAATCAGTCTCAATAAGATAAAAATCTTTTAAATTGGGCTTCTAAAATTAAAATACTTTTGTATACAATAACTTATGTTATTTTAATTAACTATACTATTTTATATAGTAGCATTACATTATATTCCCATTGTTTGAAGGTAAGTTTCACCCTTTGTTTTTCTTTTCTTTTTTTTTTAAGGGAGAACTTTCTAGAGCAGCCGTGGGCAAACTACGGCCCGCGGACCGCATCTGGCCCGTTTGAAATGAATAAAACTAGAAAAAAAAAAAAACAGTCCCCTTTTATGTAATGATGTTTACTTTGAATTTATATTAGTTCACACAAACACTCCATCCATGCTTTTGTGGCGGCCCTCCGGTCCAGTTTAAGAACCCATTGTGGCCCTCGAGTCAAAAAGTTTGCCCACCCCTGTTCTAGAGTAAGATATATATATCATATATATACTTTTTTTTTTTTTTTACACAGAGAGGAAGGGAGAGAGATAAAGTTAGAAACATCAGTGAGAGAGAAACATCAGTCAGCTCCCTCCTGAACACTCCCCACTGGGGATGTGCCCGCAACCAAGGTACATGCCCTTGACCGGAATCCAACCCGGGACCCTTCAGTCAGCAGGCCGACACTCTATCCACTGAGCCAAACCGGTCAGGGCTCACCCTTTGTTTTTCATGTGACACTGAATTATTGGCTGCTCATGCCCCTGAGCAATAGGACTTAGTTTGAGAGACACAGGATGGGGACAGATTGCTATTTCTGTCCACAAAGAAAGTACTATCTTTGCCCTGATCGAGGTATTTTTCAATATGTTCGTTTAGTTGAGTGTCGGCTGGGTACGAATGCTGGGCCAAGAGGTACTATACGTTAATGTTGATGATACAATATCCTTTGTAGGCAGGCAGTTAAGTCAACTGAGACTCAGAGCGGAGTGGTAGGTACTCAGTTGGAGAGTGGGGGTAATAACCTTTTTTTGTTTTGGCTTCATAGCCCAGGTCCTTTCAGGCATTTTACAGACTCTTAACAGTGGTTGGATATAGTCGGCAAAGCTAGAATGGTCCATTCAAGATGTAGTGTGCTAAAAAGTACGCAGTGCTTGGTTTCTGTATTTCAATGTGGGTAATGAACCTATGAGTGAGGACAGAAGGTTATGCTGTAATTATCATCTAAGGAAATTGCTGGAGACAAATGTTGCTTCTGACTTAAAAAGTAAAAGTTACTGTGTTGAATTTCACTTGACTCGGAGGTAACTAGAACTGGGGGGATGTCTTCAGAACAAAATATAAAAAGCTACTAGAAATTATGCATCTTTTAATTTCCTGAATGAGAAATGGCAAGGTCTATTTTGAAGCTAAAAGCCCCAAATTCTTCTCCCTAACTCACTTAGATTCCATCTAAGTAAAATGGAATCTCTCTTTTTAATAAACTATTTGTCCAGGTAATTGAATTACCTCTGAGATTTTTAATTTCTATGGACATACTAGACATGCCTTTTAATATCTAATAGTTCTGATGGATTTATTTAAACGAATGTTAACAATAGAGTTATTTCAGATGACTGTTTTCTTTGTGCTAAAAATTCTGTTAAAGAACACATCCAATTTTTTTAAAAAAGAGAAATTGGTTTAATTCTGCTCTTTACTACCTGAAAACTTAATTTAGCTATTGCTTCTAAGAACAGTTTGATCATTAAAATAATCAGTAGGGAAAATTATCAGAGGCCCATTGACTCAGTTACCATTCAGTACAAGCCTAAAGTGAATGGTATTATATTTCTTTCACGAGTAAAGTTTCTTTTAAAGTTGAAAATGCAACTTAACACACATAAAATGGAACCATGATTAACCAAAAGTAACAAATCAGAGCTTCGGTTATCTGGAAATATTTCTATATCCATGTGTGGAAGAAATGAAGGCAAGTTATAAGAAAGCAAGCTAATGTTAGATTTTATTTTGTGAAAGTCTAGCAAGTAAGTGTAATCTGGGGTCAGTATAAAAACGTCAATATTCTGTAACCCAGCATAGTATCAGCATCATAGGTTAATTTGTTGTAATGTTAAGATCTTAAATCACCAGTAGTGTTTATAAGAGTATTCTTGAGCAGAAAACTGCACTAATGCATTTTGTTTTAGAGATTTTCAACTAAAGAGATTGAAACAAAGGTTTTTCCTAGTTCAGTGGTTCTCAACCTTGGCTGCACATTAGAATCACCTGGGAATCTTTTTTTTAAAATATATTTTATTGATTTTTTACAGAGAGGAAGGGAGAGGGATAGAGAGTTAGAAACATCAATGAGAAAGAAACATCGATCAGCTGCCTCCTGCACACTCCTTACTGGGAATGTGCTGACAACCAAGGTACATGTCCTTGACCGTAATCGAACCTGGGACCCTTTAGTCCGCAGGCTAATGCTCTATCCACTGAGTCAAACCAATTAGGGCACCTGGGAATCTTTTTAAAATCCTGATTTCTGGGCCTCATCCTTCGGCAATTCTGTTTCTTTGTTACTAATGTTGTGGCCCCACCCCATAACAAAGAAACAGATTTCCGAAGGATGAGGCCCAGAAATCAGGATTTTAAAAAGATTCCCAGGTGATTCTAATGTGCAGCCAAGGTTAAGAACCACTGTCCTAGTTAAACAGAAAACTCACTTAACCAGATCATTTCATTTCCCAGTTAATAGGGCTCTGAATCATCTAACAGTCTTACAGTTTCTGAAATTGCTAATTAGAAATTCAAGCACATGTCAGCTTGTTTCCAGACCAGAGAAAGGCCTGGGAAGGTCAAGTACAACACTGGGCATATTAGAAAATCTAGAAAAGAGCTTGGTAATATTTAAAGAAATAGCTGTAACGAGGAGAAGTGACAGGATAGCATAAAGTGATCTGGGAGTGTTAAGGCCTCTCTTGAGCAGTCTATATCTTGTGTCTCATCTTAACAGTAGGTCAGCAAACTGTTGAGTTGTTCAGGGATTTGTTCTTTAAATAAAAAGTTAATTAGTGTCTGATTGTATGTATAGGTAATTACACCTAATTCTGTAGCTGCACTTCTGTTATTTTCCTGTGGGAAATACCACCAAGACACCTGACCCATTTTACTCAAGTTACACCTTCAGATCCAGCTTCTTTTACTCAAATCAATTTTTAGATTTAATATAATAGAAAATTGAACTATAATTTTTTCTAATTCCAAGTTATTTTTCTTTATTTATATAAAATGCTCGCCACCACCATCATACCCCCCAGAAAAAAGGGAAAAATCTCACAAAGAAAATGCTAACCCTATTCAAGGACTTGGGTTTGGTGACTGTCTTGAATCTTTCAGAAGCAGTTTCTTTTGTTTGTTTGCAGTTTATAATGGTCTTTATTATCCATAAATGAGTGAGATCATGCAGTATGTTTTTATATACTGTGCAAGGGCCTTTTGGTAACCACAGGACTGCAGTAGGGCTGCATTGAGGGTTAGGGAGACTGCAGAATCTGTAGTTACTAAGCAAAAATGGTATTCCAAGCACCTTATTTCTGATTACTGACTTACAGATGAGGAAACAAGTCCAAGAAAAGTTGAGAAACTTGTTCTCAAGTCACAGAGTTTGTAAGTGATCGAGGCAGAATTCAAATCTAGGTCTGTTGAGCTTCAAAGCCAAAGTTCTTTCTATCCCCCTGCAACAATGGAATTGCTTCATTCATCCACATCCTAGAGCAGCGTCACCAACCAATGGTCCTTAGACCACTGGTGCTCCGCGAGGTGTGAAAGGTTGGCGAACGCTGTCCTAGAGCATAGCTGTCAGTAGATCTCTCTATATCAATACTGTCCCATATAGCCACCACCAGCCACATGTGACTGTTGGGCATTTAAAATGTGGCTAGTGCAACAAAGGAAATTTTTTTCTTTTAGTTTATTTACTTGAATCAGTTTGCATTTAAATAGTCATGAGGCTCGTGACTGCCATATTGAACAGTGGAAATCTAAAGCAGGAATCCATGTTCAACCATGTCCTTTTGTTGCCATACCTGAATTGAACAAGCACTTGCGAAGCTTTGGATTAGATTTTTATGCTTCCATTTAGTAATTCCTTTTTAAAATTTATAAATGAGTTCTAGATACAAAACTGCAGAAGATATTTCTGAGGGTGGCTTTGCCATGGTAACACTTGGCATTGGATTTACTTCGCAGACAAGAATTCTATTCTAGGCTTTGCCATTTTACCGATAAATTACTTAAACCACTGTTGTGTCCTGGTTATCTGAAAAGGGCATCATTTATGTGAAGGTACTTTGTTAAGCACTTATAAATATAAAGTATTATAGACTCTGTGTCCATCTTGGACTCGAGCCAAATGATCTTACTAGTGGAAGGGTCATAATGACTTTGATATTATCCAGGTTCTTTTATCACCCAGGCCCACCGTGTGCTTCTTCCCATCCCTTTGGACCTGCACCATGACAAGCTGGGACTCTGCTTGTCTTTACAGAGATACTCTTTTCAGATGTTGTAGGGACCATTACTAGACAGCCTGAGCTATGACAAGTTGAAAATATAAATATGTTTTAATGAATATAAATATAAAATATATTTTGTTATATAATATAAATATTTATGTTATATGATATAAAATTTAAACAAAAATGGGAAATCTTAGGACAAATTTTTTTAAACTCAGAAGAAGCATTTCAATTA